GCAATTAGAATTTTTGGTTCAATTATTTTAGTCTATCTTTTGCATAGAATATTCTTATTCAGTGACAAATACAGACAATATTTTTTCTTTTATATCACGTTTTATGTATATATTTATAAATATATATATATTTGTTCACAATATATTCATTTGCCTATTATATAATAATAATATTAGTTTTATGCATGTTTTAATAGCATTTAAATTATCAGAAAAATTATCTCATTTAATACTATTATTAATGCGAGTGAGTGAGTGAGTGAGTGAGTGAGTGAGTGAGTGAGTGAGAAAAAGACAGTGGGGGAAGACAGCTATTTATTTGAGTTTGTAACTCAATTGACCAATATTTTGCTAAAAACTTATTATAAAGTATTATGCAATACACATAACAATATTGTATTGCATTAGATATCAACTTAATATTTAGGTCTTAACTTTTAAGCACCGGATTTAAACTGGAAAAGCAATTTTTAACATTACTTTTTTGCACTTACAGTACATCAGATATTTTATCCTTAATTTCTTTAAAAAGACTTTATACTTAGTTTTTTGTGTACTTTTTATCAGAAAACGTGATCTTAATTTTTTTTAAGTCAAGAATATAGTTGCAGTCAATCCAAACCATTACATTGTGGTTAAAAATTAAATGACATTTTATTCTTATTATTTTTATTTAACTTTAGTATAAAAAAATCAATAAAATACTTTTAATTAAATAGCCAACAAAAGAAATTAATTGAAAAAACTTTATTAATTATATTTTTTATATAATTGTTACAGTTATCCATTTTTATTCATATGACGTTATTGTATAATTAACAGTTATCAATATTTTAATAATATAGTATTAATCATTTTATTTGATTATATTACTAATTCTAATAAATATAAAAAATTAATTTAAAAATATTATGTGTATAGAATATACATAATTTATTTTAGTCAATAGATTTAACGATATCATTGATTTTACACCTATTTATATAATTAATTTTTTTAACAAATTATTTAATGTTAAGAGTCACAACTTATGACATTTTGCAAACTCAAGTATGCAATTAATTGCATATTTTAATTAACTTAGTTTTTATAGTAATTATCTCCATTTTATAAATGAAATGAATTCATTTATATTATTAAATTATTTTTATTTGAAATATCTATATTTTTATTAATATGTTAAATAATTAGTGAAATTTCAGTAAATGTAATTTTGTTTATATATATATTTATAACTTAATATTGATTAATTCATAATTAATAAAAACAAATAACCTTTTAGTCAATAAACATTGAGAAGAATATTTTTATATAAAATTGTGATTTAATTTAATATTAAATTTTATAAAAAAATACATATTACATATAATGAACAAAAAACAGCAAACTAAAAATTATATTTTTATTAATTTACTAAAATTTAAAAATGATATATTTAAGTGTAATTAATTTTTTAGTGAAACACTGATTTAATAATTTTTATGATTATATAATTTTTATAATTTACATATATTACTTATTTAACTTATTTTATTAAACAAAATAAGAATAGCATTTCCAAAACTAAATTATAATAATACTTAAATTATATTTATAATATTAATATATAAGTTAGATTAATATTATAATTAAGAGTTATCTGTAAGCATGACATAATATTGGCTTAATATTTAATATAATAAATTAACACTATTTAAACTAACTAACTGTTATATAACATGATAACATGTTTAACATAATAATTGTGTGGATTTACTATAAATCTTATAATACTCAAATTAAAATTGTAAAATTTTTATTGCATTATTATAATTTAATTATCAAAAAATAGACAATTACTATAACTATTTAAAGTTAATAAATAATATTTTTACTATAATACAAAAATATGTTATAAAGTATATACCATATACTTTACTTTAATTTTATATTACATTTATTTAAAAATATATTTAATCAGAACATGGATTTTGAAAAAATTAAACTTAAATTATGATTATTTCAATGACAACTGAAGCGAATAAAAACTCATTTCAATGAATAAATGGCTTATTTTTATATTGATTTTAATGTTCGACTTTATTATAAAAATATATATTCAACTTTGTATATCACTTTCACTGTACTTATTCATTCAAAACTACATTTTTAGAGTTTTTTGTCATTAAAAAAGTTTATATATAATATATTTAGATAAGAAAAATTGAGAAATTTTATTGACTGATAAGAAATTTTCATTTAATTTTTTCATATATTGAATATAATATGTTTACTAAAAAAATTAAAAAAGTTTAAGTAGATTATTTAATATTATAAAGTTTAATTAATTATTTGAAATTGACTAGCTAATATACGGTATTACAATTTTAGCTATACAATATTACTGAATTTTAATATAAAATATACAGCTTATATCTGAAATTTATTGATAAGATATTAGGTAATAAACCAATTGAAAGCATAATATACAATGTTATATCAAATTATCTTTCAATATAGTTTATATACAGTACTTGATTTTATGTTGTTTGACATATAAACAAAATAAATAAATCAAGAGCTAAGCTAACGTAAAGTTTGATTAAAAAATTATTTACAATAATATTGACTACTTTTATACTAGTGTTAACAACAAGTTTTTATATTATAATAAAATTTAGTATATTTAAAATAAATTAAAAATAACATTAAATTAAATAAGAAAATTTAATTTTTTATATGTTGTTATTTCATAAGCAATTAATATACTGTATATTACGTTCATTATATACACGATATATCAAAATTGAATTTTGAAAAAGTAAACATACCATACATTTATTTAAAAAATTGTTGAAAATATATTTGTTATTCATTAGATGGAAATGTATTGTGTAATACATTGAATCGGAGATTCATTGCATGATTTGAATGATGATCTGATATATAATTTTTGCACTCAATTTTATCATTTTTAGAGTTTACTCTATTTTTAACTAAAATATGTTATAGCTTTGAATATATTATTAGAAGAGAGTTTGCTTTTATGAGATACTAACAAAGTTTGACAAAAATATTGAGAGAAAGGGGATGAAAGAGAGAGAGARAGAGAGAGAGAGAGAGAGAGAGAGAGAGAGAGAGAGAGAGAGAGAATAATTCAAAAGCAATTGAATTGTAAAGTTTAAAGAAAGTCAATATTTGAACATAATTTAAGCCATTCTTATTCAAAATATTGTTCACCAAAAATCCCAAAAAAGTTTATTTCTCAGTAATATTATATATAAAATAAATATTTATAAAATATTTATTTTTGTATTACAGTATAGAATTTAGTAATTTCTATGTCGAGCTCTATAAATACATTGAAAAAGATAATAAAAACCGTTGTACAGTACATGTATTAAATAAATTTTAACATCAAATAAAATTTTTCTGTATATATATATCATTATAAGCATAAATCTTAAAATTAATATGCAGTAGTTTCATATTATTATTATTATATTTACAAACTTAAAGTATAAATATATTTCTGTATAAATCTGTAATATTAAAGTATTATAACCACAGTATTTTTACATTCAGTATAATATGTATTATTGTATATATTATATATGATGTATATACTGCATACTCTGTATGCTTTATAAATACAAATCACAATATGCCCTAAAATATATATTAAACAATAAATGACAAAATATTGAGCGTAAAAGCATTTTTAATCGACTATATACTGAATATACTATTATAGAGATAGTGATGGTTTGGTTGCAATATATTCCCAAATGAATATTATTATAATGTACTCTCATTTGCAAATATTTTCTATAAAAATATTTAACATATATAACGTAAATTCATTGAATCTTTATAATCAACACAAATAATATTATACAATATTTTTAATTTAATTACCATGATTTAAATTATATAATATTATATATATTATTCAAATATTATTGTTAGATTTTGATTGTTTTATTTAATTAAATTATTTAAAGAATTTGTTATTAATAAAACAATCAATTAATTCAACAACAAAAAAAACTAATTTTATATTGTTATTATTATTAAAACCATAAAATATTATGTTTTATATAATAAAATATAATTGAACATTAACTAGTATTTTTAGAAAAATTTATTGCACAAAAATTTAATAATTTATTTAATAAGATTAGCAAATATATAAGTTAAGTAATGTAATGTAATTTTATGTAAGTTGTAAGACATACTAATAAATGCAATTGAAATTCATTTTATTACCTCATTTATTGTTTTCTTTATTTTTAGGGCTTTATTATGTTTTGTCTAATAATAAGATATCAGTTTTTTTGTAATCATTTTGTTATACACTTCTATGTTTTATATATTACAGTATATAATCAAAAAATTCTTTAAATATTTTTATCTTTATTTTTCAATTAATTTACTGTAATGAGAGTTAATTAATAAACATAATTAAATATTTTGATGTTGTTTTTAAATCAAAAAACAAACATTTAATGTCATTATCATGTCTATAAAATAGCATGAATTTAATTAATATCCACATTAAAAATTTAACCAAAATTCATGTAATGTTCTTCATTTTATATACTAATAAAAAATAACAATAAATTTTATTTTGTTTATAAGATGTATACGAAAATAATGCTTTGTTTAAATTAATATTATAGATGAATAGAAAAGTATGTAAATTAACGATTGAATGAATGAGTAGAGGAAGAGAGAGAGAGAGAGAGAGAGAGAGAGTATAATATTTTAAATTATAAACAATAAGACTACACTATTAAAATCAAAGCACTTATATATAATTCATTTATATTGTTATAGATATAATTAACATTTACTTAAATTAGATTTGTTATATGCATTATGTTAACAAAATTGGTATATATTTGTGAATTATATATTTTTTTGTTTATAAAATAACTAATATATAATACTTATATAACTTATATAATTTTATATAACTTTATATAACTTAAAAGTGTGTCTTAACTTTGCAATTATAGATTAGACACTTAGTTTGATGACCGGCGCTTACATTCATTTAGTTGATTAATTAAAATAATAGTGCGGACAGTCTTATCATTGATTGAATGGGAAATACGTTTGATTATATATAGTATGATATATTGAATGGTATGGATAGCATAGCATTGAGTACTGTGGCGATGATAAACATCGATTACCAGATTATCATCGTTGATATGATACTGCATTTAACATCAATATCTGTGGGAACGGTATGTATGACGTTATACAGTCTATAAATTCAAACACTTAATATATACAATAATTGAATGAATTGTTATTTTTAACTCAAGTATTGACAGGTAAAGAGTGAAAGAAGAGAGAAGTGTTAACATAAAAAGAGTTAACAAATAAAACATCATTTTTCAAAACCACTTGAAAGCCTTTATAACATCTTTAAAAGCAAATGAAAACCAGAATCAGTTTTGTTTTGTTTGATCTCTGTTTACATAACAGCTTTATTGGCAGCACCGGTAGCCCATTGTATGGTACCAGTGGTGGTACTACTGTTGGCGCAAACAACAGCTCTCATAATAAATTTAAAGGATTTAATTTGTTTAATATGCAAATCATCGTCAGATTCACATGTTTTCTATTCATAACATTTACATCATTTACAGTGATATTCACGCATAAAGTCACTGAATCGGGAGATATATTATTAGGCGGTCTCTTCCCAATTCACCAAAAAGGTATAACAAAATTTTTGTTTTCAATTTTTCAAAAGTTTTCAATAATTTAATATCACGTTTAGTTGATGAACCGGAAAATTAAAAATATACCAATTTATACTTTATATATAAATTTATATTTATTAAAATTATTTATTTTGCATATTTAATATATTGTTCTGTATAAACAATATATATATAATTATATTATGTAAATACAGTATTTACTGAAATTTATAATAAGTAATAAACACGTCTATAAAAATAAATATATTCAGCGGTTTATTATTGCATAGCAAATACTGTATATGATTTATGTAGACTTTACAAAACATATAAAAATGTAAAGCATTATAAATTATTTATCTGCTTTAGGATATTATCAAATTTAGATAAATATAGATATTTTGACATTTTATGAGATTCTATAAAATAATTACAATAAAAATTTAAATATTGATCTCTTTCTTTTAATATACTAATGTCTCAATAATATTATAACATTAGTATAGAGTTAAAGGATTAAATTTATTCAAATGTTTTTTATCTGAGTATATTTAAAGTTAACATAAATAACTCAAAGAAATTAAATGTATTTTAATTTAAGTAAAGAAATGGATATATTATGTTTGAGTATTGAAATGCAAAAAATATTGATTTTTTAAATAAAAAGTAAATATATTTAATATAAAAATAATTCAAAAGATTTTTCAATTAAAAATTCAGAGATAAACAGACTATTTAAATGAATTATATTACTATTGCTTTTACTGAATATAAATTAATAGATATTTTTTAGGAATGGCTTATTTGTTAAATAGCTTTTTATATAATGTATATTAATTGCTCATAAAATATATATTTACTTTTTAATTAATTAATTTATATCTAATATTTTTGGATCTAATAGGCAGCAATAGTAGCCGATGTGGTCCTATAAATAAAGACAGGGGTATCCAGCGTTTGGAGGCCATGCTGTTTGCCATCGATAAGATCAATGCAGATCCAAATTTGTTGGGCAAAATCAAATTGGGTGCCATTATACTGGACACGTGCTCGAGTGACTCGTATGCACTCAATCAGTCACTAGAGTTCATACGCGCGTCCATTAATACGGTTGAGTCGTCGGCTTTTGAATGTCGCGACGGATCCACTCCTCGACCCAAATACGGGTCCAAACATATTAGCGGTGTTGTCGGCGGATCTTATAGTGAGGTATCAAACATCTTATGACTCATAATAAGAGTTTCATTTATTTTGTTTTATTTGTTATTACATATTAATTAAATAATTTAGATACTTATTAATTAGTACTTACTTATCCAGTTAATCCAAACAAATAAACAATTTAATTGTATGATATATTTGTAATTTGTTAGTAAACAACATAGAAAATGGTTATTATTATTTTTTATAAATAAGAAACTATATTTTAGAGTTTATTCAAATTGTTTTATAAAAAGATTTCAAAATATAATAATAATAATAAACTTTTAATTGAATTTTATTTCTCAACATTTTTTTAGAATTTCCTATTTTCAAACACTAATTATAATATATAATATTACTATCAATTTATAGAAATACTGTAGAACTTTATATAGTTAAATTAATTGTCAACTAAAACAAATTTTTAAAATAATAATATTTTGTTTAATTTTAAAAATTATTATTGAGACAATATACAGTTTTATTGGTAATGTATTAATATTTTTTATTACATATTTAAGTAGACTAATAAAGTGAATGATTATAAAATTATTTACATTAAATTAGATTATGTCAATTTTAGTTTGTTAATACTGTATATGATTTTCTTATAACACAATCTCACTATATTTTAATTAAACAATTTGCATTTAAAATACTCTATTCGGTAGTTTATAAAATTATATGTAATAAAATTTAAATATTACAATTTTATATAATGTCAATAATATGATAAAATATTTGCTATTATATGTATTATATTAAAGTTATGTCTAATATTAAAATTTTTATTTTATTTTATTAGGTATCACTCCAAGTGGCTAATTTGTTACGACTCTTTAAAATGCCTCAGGTTTGACTTTAGTATATATTATAACAATTTTTTAAAATAAAATAAATAATACATCAATATATATCATAAATGATTGCGTTTATTTTTATAAATTTAGATAACTGTAAAATATTTTTATATTTTCTCTATTTATAAAAATAGAATAAGTAAACATTTAAAAATTAAATATTTTTCACTTTAAATTTTAGATCCCTGATTTTTATTTTATTTATGTATTTTTATTATTTATCATCTGCAAAACTATTTAAATAATAATATTATAGACTCAAAAATTCTTGATTTAAATTTCAAATTAAATACAAAGATAACTTATTTGGAAATAAATATTAATATATTTATTATAATAGATTTTTATAATAAATGACATTTAACATAACAAAAATATTAAAAACATAGTTTTTATTTGCTATATTAAATGATTATTTATATATTTTATTTTTTTTAATATACCAACTTAATATTCTGATATATATTTAATAAAAAATTATATTCCTGAAAATAATTTTTAAATGCTATTAAAGTTTTTATTATAAATTTATTTTTATGCCAGTAATATACAATACTACTTTATAGTCATATAAAGTTAACAATAATAATATTTTTATATGTTTTTATATAATTTACCCAAACTCTCTCTCTCTCTCTCTCTCTCTCTCTCTCTCTTTCCCATTTAATTTATTGAAAGCATAATCTATTGMATTGAAGTATATTGTATTTTGCCTTTCATTGAGTTTATATAAACTTATTTTCAAAACTCAATTTCTGGCCACAAATGATAAAAACTAATCTTATATTTGGTGTTCAGTCTTGTTGTCGATCGGGACCAACATTAGTGCATATAATGTGATATAAAAGCAAAAACTTCTTTAAGAAAAAAGAGAGAAAAATAAAGATCAATGTTTTATTATATAACTATAATATAACTATTATTATTATTATTGAAAACTTAGCCAAATGTAAGTCAAGAATTATTTTGTAGTCTCATTGTTAGCGACTTAACAAATAGCAAATAACATTCAATTAAGTTTAATGACGTTAATACCAACAGTCCTATTGTTAAGTGTCTTAATTTATTTGACATCTATTATACTAACAAAATAATTTGAATTATCCCTATTTCTAAATAAAGCTTTTAATTAATTTAATTAAAACTTTATTATAGTTTATACATATGGAAATGAAAATTGTTTTTAAAAAACATTTGATATCTAAAATAATATCTATTTTTAAATAATGTGTACAAAAATATACTATTAACTGACTTTAACTGACTGAATGTTATTTTTATAAACGGAAACATTAATGTTAATAAAATGGAAATTTTTGCTCTTTTTAAAAAAATCAATTGCTTTGATATTTTTAATACTCAATAGCTTAAAACAATTGAGGCATCACTAGAGAGACAATACAATTGATGACATTAATAAAGTTTATATTGGCTTTTGTATGTCAATCACTTGTATTGAAAGTTAGACAATGTGTGTCCGTTTCAATGATTCAAATGAATTACTTGTTAGGTTGGGATCAGACTCTCTAATCATTGCTTTTTTGTTATTACTAATAAAAATACCATTCAATTAAAAAAATATCTATTAATCTAAAATATTTTCAATATTTCTGAAATTACTGAATATACAGATTTCAATTAAACATAAAGTAATCAATTAAATACATTGATTTAATGGATATAATAGAAAACAGTTTTTGTTTTCATAGTAACATAGTATTGAATATTATTTTTTCATGAATTATAGACATTCATTGTGAAGATTCAATAACCTATACTAATAACTGATAAGCAGATTATAATATATAATTTAAAATCAATTCAAACTTAAATATTATACTTTTGTAAAAATGGATTTGTTTTCTTATTTCTATATTACAATCATATTTATTATATGTTTTAAAAACTTTATAATTTTTAATTAATATGTATTAATTATTTTATATCATTGCTAACATCTACTAATACTATATATTGTACTGTAAATACATTGGTTAATACTGTACATAATGGTATTAATAGTACTGTATATGTAGATAATGTCCATATTTTTCACAAAACACATATAATGTTGTATAAAAATACAAGTTTATCTGTAATAAGAATCTTATTTAAGACATAAGACTATTATTTACAGTATTTTCTAAACGTTTTTTGTTAATTTGAAAAATTAAGTTTAATATTAAAGTTTTATATATTTTTATCTAATATCATAGTGCATGAAATACAAATTGATGTTCACATTACTTAATGAGTTATTAATTAATTAAAACCACTTTTGGCACATATCTATTATAAATATTTAATCACTTAGTTTTATACAATACAGTATACATATATATACTGTATTAGTGAACTGTTATGTAAGGCATAGAATATTGATGTAAAGAGTATACCATTAAGTGAATGGCCAGTAATACAAACAAATGTTAATGCATTTGGTGTCCAAACAATATTGTATTTATTGATGTTTTACTTAAAAAGTAGTTATATTCTGTATATTCTGTATATTCTGTATACCAAACAAACAAAGATTATTCTGTTATCTATTTCTCACATTTTTCTTAATGTTAAAGAATAAGAACATATAGTAGTAATAGTATAACAATATTTTTGTAGATTTATGAACTACAGTACAATAATACAAAAATCACTAATTTATTGATGTGTTTATATCGCTTATATATTATTAGGATTTAACAAATGACAGTTAGATAAACATAGTAATTAAGCAATTTATTGGTACCCAATAGACACAAAGCATTATATATTGATGATTAACATACGGGTGCTATTTTGCACAGGTTTGGTTGGAAATGAAATAAATTAATTATTAAACAGTAAAATAGTTTTTGGCAATTATTAGTAAAAGCAATCCATTTATCTGGATATACGTGAACTATAATACAGTACAGTATACCTACATATTGTGAAATACATGATAATGCATATGTGATATATCTGTTTAATAAAACCATTGGACAGAAAATTGAATACAATAATAGTATTAAATTGTTTTGCTATCGATTTGATGATAATATCGAAATAGTTAGTGTAAATGTCACTGAATGAGTGACCCCATACAACATATAAGCTTATGTACTGCAATACAACCCTTCATGTAAGTCAACACATCATTATATACAACAGTGTAAAATATATATATAGTAATATACTGTATATTGAACTCAATAAGAGTTAGTCATCCAAATTTATGGTCTAATTCGTTGATTATTTGAAGTTATTTTTTAATTGACAAATATTTATAATTCATTTAATACAAAGATTTGTTTAATACACTATATTTCTAGAATCAAAATAGTTTCCAATTGATTTACTTTGAAATTAATACAACTTTAGTTTGAGTTACTTTTTAATTTAAAATTATTTATAGAAATTAGTAGTTTATTGATTAATGGATTTGACATTAATTTTAGCTGACTTAAAATAGGATAATAAATAAAACGTGATTTTTTAGATTTATAAATCAGTTTTATATCTCTAATATATATATTTGGAAAATGATTTTTGACATATTAGTGGTGCAATTCATGAGAAATGGTTAATATCTTGTGTTATAATATTGATTATTTAGACACAATTATTTGTGAAATGTCACTATGAATTGATTTATTGTTTGTTAGTATAAGACAGACCACTAAAAAATATTAATGATTTCCTTTAGTTTGTTTTACTCTTCATATATATGCTATGAGTTGGCGGACACAACACAACATCGATGTCATTCATTAACTTATTGTTAATATTAGTGAAAGACTAGTCAACAGGACATCTAATTTATGAATCCTTTTCCATATATGACAATCATTTTGTCGCTTATTTCCTTAAATCAATTGATTTCTAACATTAATCAATCAATTTTATGTAAATTAATGTAATTTGATGTTTTCAGTTTTTAATTACTTTTAATAATAATCAAATTATTTAGGGTATAACAAATATTGTAAAATAAATAATAGAATTGATATTTGATTGGCATATATATATATATAATTTAATGGATACAAATTGTTCATTCAATTTATTAAGTGTTGTATAGTACAGGTATATACAGTACATGTAATCGACACTCCATACAGGTATACATTGAATATTGTAACATATATTGACCACACTTTGCATTGCAACATAACTTTGTTATATTGCATTTGCATATAAATTGATTTGTTGTGATATTGGTGTCATTTTTGTTTGTGTGTACTATATCTATAATATGCCAAATACTATATATAGTTGTGTATTGGCTTAAATTAAATCAAAACATTAATCAAATCAACTCTCAATGTTATGCCAATTGATTTTGGGGTATGAGCTGAACAGTATTGATACTATAATACCAGTTCTCGACATAAGTCAGAGAACTGTAAAAGATTACTGTTTTCTCTCATTTCACTTGACATAAGGCATGAGCCATCATAAGGCATGAGCCATCATAAGGCACTACGGGTGCAAAAATCAATGCATTCAATCATAAATCATTATATCTGTAATTTCTTGATTATAAATTGTGTTACTTAATGTGATTATAATTAATGTAATATTGATTTCACCCATTTTACAGTGTATAACAACTATTGTATAATGAAAATATGAACAATATTTTTAATGTTAAACAATTCAATTAAAACTAAATCATTTACATATCATATATTAATACAGTATATTGTCAGCTATAAAACTGTTAAATAGTATTTATTGAAATGTTAAGAATTTTTGTTAATAATTAAGTCTTAATATACTGTAGTGTCATAAAGCTTATACAATATAATATTATTACAAAATCTTAACAAATTAAAACAATTTAAAATAGATTTATTTTGTAAATTACTGGCGTTTTCATAATATAAAAATTAATATAACAATAGTATTATAGCATTATATTATCGATATTTTAGTAATTAAATGCTTGTCCGTAACAATAGGTCAGTTATGCCTCGACTGGTACATCGCTCAGTGATAAGACACGATATGACTTCTTTGCCCGAACTGTTCCGCCCGATACTTACCAGGCATTAGCACTCGTAGATTTGGTTCAATCATTCAACTGGTCGTATGTAAGTTTGGTCACTTCCGAAGGTCAATACGGAGACTCAGGTATGAATGCGTTCGCACGGGAGGCCAAAAAGCGCAACATTTGTATTGCAATGAATGAAAAGGTGCCGATGAATGCCGATCAACACTATTTCAACCAAATATTAACTAATCTTAAGATGAAATCCAACGCCAAGGGTGTTGTGCTGTTTCTCAGAGCCGAAGACAATCGGGGTTTGTTAGAGGCGGCAAAGGCGGCCAATCAGACCAACTCATTCTCATTCATTGCGTCTGACGGATGGGGAACACAGGCAAAGCTGGTAGAGGGTGTAGAAGAGGAGGCGGAGGGCACTATCACTGTTGAGCTACAGTCCCGAGAAATTGAGGAGTTTGACTATTATATGGGAAACATGAGTGCCTATCATAACCGGAATCCCTGGTTTCAAGAGTACTGGGAGGACACCTTCTCATGTCGACTGCCACCCTATACACACAATGTGGACACCGATAATAACAACTCATTACCCATATGTTCACCAAACCTTCGCATTGATAGATCAATGGGTTATCGCCAGGAGTCCAAAGTCCAGTTTGTTGTGGACGCTGTCTATGCATTTGCACACGCATTACATAACGCATGGCTTGACCTTTGCTCCGGTACTGAAAATTATTGTCCGGCGCTCAAGGAGTTGGACGGAGAGAGCTTTTATAAAAATTATTTGCTTAACGTCTCATTTATCGGTATGTCATAACATTTATCTTAAATAAATATATATTTGTCATTGTTTTACGATAATAGTCTTTTAACATTATATCTATCACTCATTTATGATTATTATTGCCTATTATTATATGTATAGTATTCGTGCCAAAGACTATTAGATAGAATATTATGTTTTATATATAAATAAAAATATAAAATTGTCTTATTTTAAGTAAATCACTGTTTGAATGCCAGACAAAACTTTTCTTTTTCTTAAAATATACCAAAAATATGATTATATTATATAAATGACATGACATTCATTATATGAATCTAATAAATTTGAGAAACATATAAATGATTTATGTTATTATTAAAATATACTATTAAGTTATTTAACCTACTTTTGACATAATTATATGATATAGTATAAAATTAGTTTAATTTTAATAAATGATTGTAAAATATTGTTTTTGTTTAATTGGAAAGATTTGATTGTTGCATATTTAGTTGTAAAGTTAGGAATAATATATCATTTTTATATCTAAAAAGTTTTATTCTTTTAAAATATGTTATTCAACATCAATAACAACAAAAATAAAAGCATAATAAAAAGTTTATAATTTTTAATCAAAATTTAGCTATAGTTAGCTTAGTTTATTGATATTTAGTTTAGTGTATTCATCATTATAAACATTTGTATGAAAGACCTCTTTAATGAGTTTGAAAACAAATCTCTTGACAACTGAGGTATGGATAACATCATTATCTGAAACAACTACTGCATAAAGTTGTTATTTTTAAGTAGATTTTAACTATATTTGAAAATTTTTAATTAATAGGTCAATTAAACAATATCTAAGTAATCTACAATATCTTTAATAAATGAAAACTATGATTAATAATAATTATTTTATAAACATCTGATAAAACATTTATAATGTTTGTATAGAATATTATACAAATTATAAGAGCCATTGATTAGTTAGTTCGTTAAGAGTAAAAACAAACAATTGTTTTGTTGTTTAACTATAAGTAAATATGAGACAAATGTTGCGCTAATAATAGATTTTGCATTTGATTCATAGCCCTTACTATAAGTCCATAAAATTCATTAGTCATTCACTAAAATAGACTTACATTTCATATAATATATATTTATCTTTTTCTGTCATTGTTTGTTAACTACTATGATATAAGTAAGAAAAAGATCTTTATTTCTATATCTATATAATAAGTAATGTTTGTATTACTGGTATATTAGTGAACCCATAAATTATTGCCATAAATTTACTAAATAAGTACTACCTATACCTCTAAACCATTGGGCATTGATATGTCATATTATTTTCAATAACTTTGTTTGGATATCTAAGAGAAAATAAAAAATATTATATCAAAACAATTTTGTTTCTAAATTATACTTTTATTCAATATAAACATATTTAATGATTTTGTCTATAATATACTTCAAGAGTAATAAATATTGTTTTGGTCCATAAGTGCCAAATTCAGTTTAGGATTATAAAATTATGAACTATTTTACTATATATAAAATATTAATTTATTTCTTAAAATTTTTACTTTACAAAAAAAGATTTGAAACTTTTGATAAAAATGCATTACTATTATATTATTTTTGTTTATACCGTATGACTAAAATATTTTTTTCTTTTATAATATCATGAGTTAAATATATATTTATATAACATTAAAATAGATCAAAACATTGAGTAAATGTCTTCATATAACTATCAGTTCATTGCTATTATACATATGATTGATATTATGCTATTGATATAAAAACATATAAACATATATTATACTGTATAAACACTTAACAAAAAATAAGCGACTGTTATGTTTTGAGTGCTTTTAAAAGCAATACTAAACAAAACTAATATTTAGGTTTTGATATTATTTATAGTATTTATCATCAAAAATTATTTTATTATACAATATATATATATATATATCTTGTTTTATATTTTATGATTAGTAGAACTAATTGAAAGTTTAAAAAATAAAACAAATATATAAGTAAACATAATATGAATAATAACAAAGTTATCAAAAGTGTTATATATTATATATTTTAGGCCATATATTCAATAATTTATTTTTAAATTTTCTACTTTTCATTAAACTCTTTACAAACATTATTATGTTTATTGTGTAATATTATATTATATAAAATATGACTTTGATATGAAATAAGTAATAAACATTAAGAGCTAATATCAATGTTATTTTCAGTGTAATAGAGAGGAAATGGTAGTCATATAATGGCATTAAATTTAATTTAAACTGTTTTCACAGTTATTTTGTTTATGACTTATGTCTCGATTATTAAGAATAATTGCTTATAACTAATGTTATGCATGTTATGACTTACAATATATTATAAGAGTATATAATTGAACTCAATTTGAATATTATAGTGAATACTGAATGACTGCTTATTTATTTATTTATGAATTCAATGAAGAGTCGACTGAATATTAATTTCAATTTATAGCACAACATGTCTTATGGTTCACACGCCAACTGTTTAACAAAATTATTAATCTAATGTAGAAAAAAACAGTAAAACATAGTTTATTGAATTTTACTAATAATTTTCTACAAAAAAGAGTGTTATTTTTTATATAAAATATATTATTCACAGCACTCATACATTTATATCACACAATTATTAACTACAATTTGTTACAAATCGAAAAAAGAGATTATTTTGTTTATTGATTTCTATTGTAATATACAGTACAACAGTATATTTATCATATAAAAAATATTGAACACTTAAGCTTAATAAATGAGTGGTAAGCTATGAGTGGATAAGTAATTGAATACATTTACTTATATTACTTAATATAATATTTATCAATAATAATTTGGATAGTATTATGTTTACTATATTCTATATTTATTTATCTTTCAAATGCAAAACTATATAATATTATCATATAATATATATATTTGTATATTATTATTGTATATATGCATTAAGCATTACAAAGCAATGTAACAATTATACAGTATTTTACTGTAAATACAGTACTATTGAATGAATAGTCAATCGATGAACAGGATAGGGATGAGTTGTTTTTCCCCAATTGTTTGGCAACTGTTTGTTATCTTTTGAGTCAACTTACAAATACATAGACATAGACTGACAAAGTTTGTTAATTCAGTTTCATAACTCATGACAAACTTATAAGTATTAGTAAAGACGTTATAATGAAAGTCTTTTTCAACTAATTTTTCTTTCCTTATATTTTACTTTTATATTTGTTTTTTATTGTTTTCACAATACATGTCTTTACTACTATTCATACGTTTGTTATTTTTGTGTCTACTCTGCATTCAATTATATATATATTTATATCTAAATACAATAATTTATTATACAATTGTTATTCTCATGTAAGACATGCTTACCATTACTTTACTTCACAAAAGCCTATGAATTACTTTTTAATCACAAATTGCAACTAAATGTCTCATCTGATCGCTATATCTCTTCAATCATTAATGAGTGTTAAATATTATTCATGTTTTATATAAATAATTTATCAATATATTGCATTTACTATATATATATATTTACTAATTTTCATATATCAAGTAAAGTGTATGTAATGTTATTTTTAATAAAAATTTCTTTTGAAATTAAAAAAAATAACAAATACTAGAAAATAAATTATATTTTATTCAAATTATTTTTATTTACTTTTGACATTAAATATAGTTTATATATAAATTATAAATGATCTAGTGTAATTGAGATAGAGGTAGCATTTTTTATTATACTATTAGATCCGGTCGCATTCAAAATATCTAAACTTATAATATCTAAATCAAAATATCCAAATAATAATATCTAATTTAAAATATCCAAAATAAAAATCTCTAAAATAATAATATCCAAACTCATAATATCAAAATACATTTGATCCAACTAAATTAATTTAAATAAAAATATCCAAAATTAGTGTAATTACAATTTACAGTAATAATTTTAGCTATTATTAAAAATATTTATTAAAAATAAATAAATTTTGATATTTTGATTTATATAAGATAATTTTGGATATTTTTATTAGAATTATTTAAATTGGATCAAACGCTTTTTGATATTATAAGTTTAGATATTATTATTTTGGAGAATTTAAATTATTTATTATGAGTTTGAATATTTAGATTTTGGAGATTTTAAATTTGGATATTTTGATTTTGGATATTTTGAACCCTATGAGATCACTATATTTATAGCTACTGTAATACATAATTTACACAAAACTACTATACAAATTGAATCTCTATAATATATAAATTTAATATAATTATTATAGATTTTATAAATTTATTTATAATTCAAGTATATTTTTAGTATAATGTAATTAAATGATTAATTTTTTATTTTGAATATTAATTAAAATACTAATAATATTTAGTTAATATTTATAATTATTAATATAATGTATTTTTACAAGATAATAAATATTGAGGGAATAAAAAATTAACATGGGGATCTTTTAGAAACTTTCTAGAAATTTCTCTATTATTTTTTCTAGCATGACTTAAGACTGCCATGATCATTTTTATAAAAACAAACAAATTATTTTATAAATATAGTTATTTTCAAGTATTGTTAATAATAGACAAATAAACACAAAATCTATAATGAATTTTCAAATTGAGTTAATAAATATCAGTAGTAGAGTACATATTGATTGTTTAATTCAATAATCATCAAATTTATATCAATATATTAAAAGTGATTAATTTTACTATAATTTTTGATGACTTTATTTTAATTTTTTTTCAGTAGTTATACGCATATTCTGTAACCCATATTATAAAAGTTATCTTATAAAATACTGTTAAATTATCTTTAAGATTTATATAGTTTAACTAAATTAGTGATTTTTCAAAAATATTTAAAAAAATTATATTGAAACAATACTAGTAAAAATAATTAATATTAAATTATAATATATTTCAATAACAATATGCTTTCTACAATTGATTAATATAAACTATAATAAACATAATATTAATAGTTTATATAAGTTTGATTAGTGAACATTGAATTATGAAATGTCACAAAAACAACATATATTTATATGAAAGACGAATATTCCTTATTTGCATAATTTGTTTGATAAGCAAATGTGTTAAAAATTTTCTAATTATGATAATTTAAATTAACTTTATGTGCGTTTTGTTTGAAACAATATTAATATTGAGTTTTTGCCTAATATATACAGTATAATATTTAACATAATGCCAACTCATTTAAACTAAATCATTCATTTGCATAGTTTATGAGTTTTTTTTGGTTAATATCAAAACTGAAATATTAGCCGATTCTATATAGGAAAGGGTGGAAATGGTTGGTCTTAATGTTGAAATCCTATATATAAAACTGTATTTTGTGTGAAGCATTGTATTGAATGCCAAACTCTTTTCAAATTACTTTATTATATTTTATTAATACTATTTCAGAAAAATARATGATAAAAATGTATATAAAATGTTGTGATTACATACAAAATAGACAAAATTATTGCCGAAAGTAATTAAATTTTTAATAAATTAACTGTAATATAAATTACTTTATATGCTATCCCTTAATTTTAATAATAATAATAATAATTTGTTTTTACTTATAAACAGATATATTTTGAAAAATAACTTAATAGCCTAAGCAAAAATTTGTTTAAATGCCAATAACAGTAAATATTACTGTATTTATTAATAAAATATTTTATTTGGAAAATATAATAAAATAGTAAATAATGTATATATATATATATAAAGATGGTTTGACTCTATATTTGATGAGACATTTTAAATGATTATTTGTCTCAACGGTTCACTTATTTGTCTGAATGGACGCGCGATTCTTGTTATGACTTACAGTATATTTATATAAATATAGTGCAGAATATTCTGTGTTATGTTGTGTTATAGATATGTGTTATATGTTATCGGATAAGAAAATTGTTGAGTATTTATGTTATGTGTGTTTGAAATCACATCCGATAAATAAGTTGTAATTCTTTCAGTTGTCACACATATTCTCGCCATTTATAGCCATTGAGTTGAAACAGAGCTGACATACCATACAATACACATACATACACTACATATATAAATTAAGTTCGTATCACAAAAATATTGATATCATTAACTTTTAACTTTAATAACTTTTTTATTACATAAGAAAAAACAACAAATTTAGTATCAAATTAAATATCAGACTAACTAATTTCTAAGACAATTGATAAAATTTAATAAATTATTAAGATATCTATAAAAATAGCTATATGGTAAAAATATTAATTACAAAAAGTATTTTCGTGAAAACAAAACTTAAAAAATTATTAACAAAATAAGTGCATTAAATTGGTATAAACGATGTTAATAGCGAGTATTTCCTCCGCTGGCATCGATGACAGCTTGTAATCTTCTAGGAACACTTTGGATCAGTTTTTCGGTGACTTCTTGTGGTATATTTTTCCAAACATTAAATAGTGATTCTTTAAACACAGAAAAACTTTTTCTTTCGATTTTTTGAACACGTCTGTCCAATTCATCCCATAAATGCTCAATAATATTGAGGTCCGGGCTCTGTGGTGGCCACTCAAGTGTCTCAATATGGTTGTCAGACAACCATTTCTTAGCCAATTTCGATGTGTGTTTCGGATCGTTGTCGGCTTGAAATACAAAATCGTTGTTAATTTGGAGATCTCTTGCGCTCTGAATCAAATGTGGGGTCAAAATATCATTAACATAAACATAGCGATCCATAGTTGATGGTATTTCCACCAAATGGCCGACTCCCTGGCCTGTCATACATCCCCACACCATCACTGATTTTGAGTGCTTTACTGTTGGGCATATATTTTCGGCAATTAAACTTTCGCCTCTCTTTTTCCACACTCTTTGGCGACGTTTTGTGTTAATTCTCTCAAATTTAGACTCATCTGACCACAAAACCTTCTTCCAGAATGACATCGGCATCCGGATGTACTTTCGTGCAAAGTCTAACCTTTTTCTCTGATTTGTTAGGCTTATCATTGGACGTCTTCTAGCAATACCACTGTAATAACCTATTTCACGGATCCGGTGTCTTATGGTGTTGTTTTTACACAACATATTTCGGTCGGCCAACTCTTCCCTTATCTCATCGGTGGTTAACTTCTTATTTTTTGCTACTATTCTACTTAAAATCCGATCTTGTTTTGCATTTGTACACCTTTTTCGACCACTTCTTGTGAGATTTTTAACTGTCCCGTACTTTTGGACTTTTAGTACAATCGATCGGACAGTATTATCTGTTGTTGCAAACACATCTGCTATCTTTGCGTATGACTTTCCGGTGCTGACTCTCATATCATACATTTGTTGACGAATTTTATCTGAAAACTCTTGGATTTTAACCATTTTAATGATAATCACTGCATTTACTACTCATTTACGTGTATTCAAATTAATAACAATGCATTGGAATCAATTGGTCCCAACAATGTGTCTGAAATCACGCGCGTTTCAAAAACACGAAAATAATTTTTGTACGCAAATTATTGACACATATAACTTTACCTTGATATATTTGGTTATTTAAATATTAGTTTTTACCATCTAGTATATCAATTTAATTGTGAGTTATTACTCTCTAATTTGATACTAAATTTGTTGATTTTTCTTATGTAATAAAAAAGTTATTGAAGTTTAAAGTTAATGATATCAATATTTTTGCTATACGAAATTAGATAATGTTTGTACTGTATATATATAGTAATAACATTTCATTCATTCATAACAATAATAATAACAGCAAAATATAGTAAATTTATAAAACTCGAGGTCTGACTGTGTTTTAGTGGCATTTGTGACACTTTATGATCGATGAATGCATTGAATACTTATAAAGCGCAGGCATTTGTCGACATAACTGTTATACAGTAAGCCGTGAAATATGAATACACTTAACAATTGATAGGCATTTGAGTGAATAAATGTCTAAAATAGTAATTGAGTCCAACATTTGTTGTAAGCATTTAATGATTTGTAAATAAAGTCTTAATTTTGATGTTATTATTTGTTTTTATTTTATAGACTTAGCGGGAAGTGAGATGAAGTTTGATAGAAACGGTGACGGTTTGGGTCGATATAATATTTTCAATTATCAACAAATACCGGATACCAATCAATATCAGTACGTATTGGTAGGCCGTTGGGCTGATGAGGGCCTCGAATTAAACAAAGATGAGCTCAAATTCAATGAGGGGGTGCCGGAGGTGCCCACCAGCATATGCTCGAACCCATGCAGTTTGGGTGAGATCAAGATTGTGCAACAGGGAGACACGTGCTGCTGGATATGTGCCAAATGTGATCCCTGGGCCTACGTGTACAATGAATCACACTGTGAGGACTGTGGTGCCGGTCGATGGCCTAACAAAGACAAACAAAGTTGCTATGATTTGCCGATTCAGTACATGAAATGGGATTCATTGTTCGCTATAATACCCGTTGTGATCGCATGTCTGGGAATTTCGCTCACATTGTTTGTTATCTTCACATTCATTAAATACAGTGACACTCCTATTGTTAAGGCCTCGGGAAGGGAACTGTCGTTTATACTATTGGGTGGTATTATGTTTTGCTATCTCAACACTTTCATACTCTTATGGAAACCAATGACCATTATATGTGCACTTCAGAGATTCGGGGTTTGTATTGCTTATGTATGCCATTGCACGGCCTGACTATGCCCTTCCCAACTAAATATCAAACATAACATCAATTACTTTATACATTACAGTTGTATGTTATCTAATAATTGTTGTTTTATTAAGACTTTACCACTTTATTTAATACATATTATCAATATATAAATTTATAAAAGTGTTATTTTTATTGATTTTAGATTTTTGGTGTTAGTTGAAAATATAATATTATGAGAAATTTTAATTAAAATAAAAATAATTAATTACATTAGATAAAACTGATATTTTTAGTACCAGTATATCTTGTATTAATATTTTAGTCTATAATATTAAATTATTGGTTTAAACTCATTATTAATTAATTAAGTTTTTCTCATTAATAGTTATTTTTAATGTTTGTGGTTTTTTCATATAATTGAGGTACAAATATATTGATTACATCTCTAATGAATAATAGTATACTATAAACGTTAATTAACTATATTAATGTATATTAACTATTAGATAACAATAAATTTTTGATTAGACTAATAATGTTAATCAGATTCATGATGTTTGTGATTAAAACATAAATAATTTATCACTAATATTTTAAATGAATTTTTAATTTATTGTAATATAGCAAATATATATTATATTTTTGTAAATGACATTTTCACTTAATAAAATTGAGTTATTCAATTATTTAAGATAAAATTAATTATTTATTAAAAAAAATATTTATTGTAAATACAGGAAAATTTTAATTAATTAATTTTTAACAATTATAAAAATAATTATTTAAATAATCAATTAAGATAAATAATTATATTAAATTCAAAATTAAATAACATTATAATATACTATATATTGTTGTCTTATCTAAATAATACAATTGTTTGTTTATCATTAATAGGTTGGTTTTGGTTTTTGTATAATATATGGGGCGTTATTAACCAAAACAAATCGCATCTCCAGAATCTTTGACAGCGCCCGTAAATCTGCCCGAAGACCCAGTTTTATAAGTCCAAAATCACAAGTCCTCATAACTATGATATTGGTGTCCATTCAAGTATGTTTAATATATATGCTGTGTATTATCCATAATAGTCTATTAATATAATAAAATATTTTTGTTATCTTTAAGACATAAATTATTATAATTAGTTTATAATTAATTTATTGCAATATTTTCCATTAATATATTTTATTCATATAAATATATTATATAAATCAATTTATATTGATTTTTAATATATACTGTATATATAAAGGCAACTATTTTTCGCTCTCAAATTATAACTTATATCAATAAAAAATAAATAAAGTTTGACTATTTTTCAGTAAAGCCTGTAATACCTGTGATGTTATTTTTAGTGTAAACTATGCGTTCAGTCAGTTAATCTTAATTTGATTTGTGGCTCGTGTTTGATGTCAAAAAACATTTCATTCAATGTATAATACAATTGCCGCTTCTGGCGCTCTTTGAGCTCCCTTTCCAATCACTGAATTTCTATGTTTAGGAATTTGCATACATTTTATATTCAATATAAATTATATTTAACAAAATTTAAAAGCCGAGTGTTATATTGACTTTTCTATCTTTAAATATATAGTATTAATAGTATAAAACCATAATTTGTCATAAATTTTTTAAAAATCATTTTAAAAATGTTGTTTAATATAATCATAAAAATGAACTTTTTAATAAAATTTTATTAATTTATAATATTAGATAATTATAATATTTTTATAATATATTAAAATATTACAGTATTTTATAGTTAATTTATTATTTATTTTCTAAGTTAGTGTACAATTACAGTATATTTTTATTTTTTAAAAGTTATTGACTATCTTTAAAAATTTGTTTTTAATAAAAGTTTATTTTGTTGTTATAATCTAATAAATAAATCAAACATTAAATCTTTAACTTTCAAAGTTAGAAATCATTAAAAGTATTGTATTATATATTAAGTATTTGTCGTAGAAGTTGATGTGTATGAGCACCGGGAGATTTGTGGTTTACTTTTTACGCTATATTTTATTATTTGAACAAAAATAAGTTGTGTATCACCGCTTGATGTTTGACTTTTAAATCAATTTTTGTTAGGTTTATAGCGTCAATGTATTAAAATTTTTTAACGAAATTAAAAAGTGAAAACACAGACAAAAGTTAAAAACAGGAAAATAAGTGAAGAAAATGCCAAATGAAATGAATACAGAATTACACTCAGAATTCTATAGTGAATACAAAATTTCAATCAATTGTTTAAATTGTATAAAAAAGTTTTCCGAGAATTTTTATATTGTTATTATACCAGTATTTTCAATATATTTATTGTTAAAATTGTTTTTGTAACTCATTATTTAAATATAAAAATACATTAATAATTTAATTTAATTTATTATTATTATTATTATTTTGCCTAGGTCATAGGCAATTTAGTATGGTTTGTGTTGGAGCCTCCCGGCACCCGACAGTTTCATCCGGACGGTAAACGGTCTGAAGTCATACTCAAGTGTCGCGTTAGAGACTCGAGTTTTTTACTCAGTTTAGTGTATAATATGTTTCTCATCACAACCTGTACTCTATATGCTGTGAAAACGAGAAAAATACCCGAAAATTTCAATGAATCTAAATTTATTGGATTTACAATGTATACAACGTGTATCATTTGGCTGGCATTTGTGCCCATCTATTTTGGTACCGGCAATAGCTTTGAGGTATGGGGTTTTTTTTTAAAATTATATTGATAAAATTAATTTTATTAAATAGCAATACAATTTTTTAATCTAATAATATATTGTAAAATATTATATTTTTAATAGATACTTAGATTTTTAAATCAAAGTAGAATAAATTACATGATTGTATGTTTATGATCAAAAATTTATTTCAACTATAACTATAATATATAAATTAGAAATAACTTTACATTAAATTAGACTATATTTTTAGTATATTATAGTGAGTCACTATTTGTGACCCTATGGTAAATATTTTCAGTATAATATTTATTTAATAAATTTATTTTTGTCCATTTTAGTTGACTAAATATACTATATTATACTTATTATAAAAATAACTTTTGATAAAATGTGATGTATCATCAATTTATTTTTAAAACATTGAAAATTCTTTACAATAAAGTAAATAAAAATTTTATATATTAATGCAAACATAAATTTAGAGATTGAAGTAAAATAAAAATTTATATCAAAATTTTAAAATATATAGAATTTGATTAAAATTGTTGTGTAAATAGAATTCAATCTATTATATAATAAATATTTTTTATATTTTGATGATTTATATTTTGATCCTAATATCAAATTTAATTTTTATAAAGTAGAGATTTATCAGAATTTTATATATTAATATTTTATTAATTTAGTAATAATAACTATTATTATGGAAATTATATATTATGTTAAAATTATATCAATTACATTAATAAAAAATAATTTAGTATTTGTTTTCTAGTATTTTTTGTACACAATTAATCTAAATGAAAAATTCTTATTAAATGTACAGTATATTAGGTTTTTGCAGATACATTAAAAATTAATATATATTTTGAATATTTATGATAATAAATAAGTTATTTTATTTATTTATATGCTTTTAATCAATTGTATATTAAAATAATTGATTTTAAAAATGAAATAATGAAAAATTTTTAGTATTAATATTTTATATTATTTTCAATTATAGTAAAATTTATTATTTAATGAAATATTTTGAGAAATCCTTTAACTTTTACTATGAATATTATATATAAAATAATTTTCTTAATAGAGTATATCTGTATAAACAGTGAAAAGTAAGATAAAAACATTTAGACAGACAGACAGACAGACAGACAGACAGACAGACAGACAGACAGACAGATAGATAGATAGAGAGAGAGAGAGAGAGAGAGAGAGAGAGAGAGAGAGAGAGAGAGAGAGAGAGATAACTGTGAAACAAAAGGATTATTAAGTTTGTCATGATTTGCGATAAAGTGATTCATTGGGATCTAATTGACAGCACGAGTGAGGCTTTTTTGAGTGCAAAAAGATTGAACCGATTTTGTGATAAATTAGTTGATTTGCTTTATAAAAAAAGTTATCTTTCAATGAAAAATTACAGACAAACTCTTTAACATTTTTTATATTTTTTAATAGTATTATGTAATTAAATAAAGCTTTCCTAAAAAATACAGAAATACTTTTGCTATTACTTAAGGACTGACACTCAAATACAACTAATGACATCAATTTATTGCAATTGAAAGCTAATTACCGGATTAAATGTGAATTTAAAACTTTTTATTTTATTGTTTTTTCTTTAATCAGAGACAACCAGTTATCAATTTAATGATTAATTTTAGCAAAAAATAAAAAATAGAGAACATCACAACGTTTTACATATAAATGCAATTCTAATATTGATTATTATCATTATATTTATTTGTTATTAAAATTGTCATTATATTTAGTTGCTATTAAAATTGCCATTAATCATTTTTATGAATTTTTTGATAAATATAAAAATTATAGATTTTAATATACATTTATTTTGATTAATCAATTTTTTAATTAGTTTTGTTTTACAATTTAAAAAAGCATTGATTATATTGATTACAGATACAAATAACAACATTATCGGTATCGATATCATTATCAGCATATGTGGCCCTATTTTGTTTGTTTTCTCCAAAAATCTATATAATAATCTTTCATCCGGACAAAAATGTACGAAAGCTAACCATGAATTCAGCCACTTATAAGAAAGCGCCGACAACTAGTACTACGTGTCCGACCACTTCAGCAAATCATGGTTTGTATGCATATTAGTAACATATTATAGTTAATACAGTAATCAATCATTAAATGTTATATTTGTAATATTATTCATTTAATAAATGTTTTGTTATTTAATATAATATTGTTTGATATGACAGGTGGTACTACCACTGCTATAGAGCACGTCAAGCTGACAGTGGCCACACAGGACAGGGATACGGGAGACAAAGTTATCCATCATCACCAGCATCTCATACAACAACACCATCACATACAACAACAGACTGTTCTCGAAGAAGATGCCAAAGAAGATAGTTTGGCATCACTTTAATGATTATTGTATTTGTTTTGTTATATGAACTAATGGGAAGCAAAAAAAACAAATTTGTTTTTTATAAATAAATATAGATGTAAAATGAAATTTTTCATCTAAATTATTGAATATTCTACTGTTTAGTGTAAATGATGTTTTGATATGAATTTTGAAGTTAGACTTCAATTAATGGATTATTTTTGATCTGAAAGTTGTTGTCTGAAAAGTCAAGCCCATAATATCTATAATATATTATATTATTATAGAAATCATAAACGAGCTTAACTCACATATACATATAGATAATTGTATTATTGTTATAAATTTAGTTACTGATTAAATATTATGTATTTAAATGTGCCGTTAATTAACAAAAATAATAATTTAAAGTCCACTGAAATAATAATATAAAGTAATTGACAGCTACTGTAAAAAATAAGAAAACAATCTAAATTTGTTTTCTAAATAAAACTCTAATGTTATTCATATTAGTTTTAAAATTTTAAATTCATATTACAAATAATTTAATAACGAATTATTAAATAAACTGTATATCAATTGTTTTTTTAAATGATATATGTATATAATTTATGATATATATTGAATATTAAGATATATTAATTATATATCTCCAATACAAACTCAAAATAATCATAATATTGTAAATAATTAATAGATTTGTAAGAAAATTATCTAATTTTATTGGTTTCAGAGAGCAAAGTGAAGTTTCGACAAAATAAATGATTATAAATATTGTAAATATTATACTTAATTAAACATATAAATTGATACAATATTGTAGTTTAGCTAACAATTTATAATTTCATAAAAACTATTTATAAATAGCTCATAACAATTGTTTAGTCTTTAAAAATGCCTAAAAGTGCCCATTAATTCATTTTACACACAAACTAACGTCATTAGTATTATAATTAATATTTAACTAAATTTTATTTTAATTTTATATACAAAACTATATAACATTTTATTCAATTTTTATGTTTTTGGGGTCTATTCTCCAACATTACTAATCATTTTTATATTATATAACCGTTTCTTTATTTCTCTCTTTCTCTCTCTCTCTCTCTCTCTCTCTCTCTCTCTCTCTCTCTCTCTCTCTCTCTCTCTCTCTCTCTCTCTCTCTATTCTCTATTTTCTAAAATTTCAATGAAACTGTAACCCAATTTATTATAACAAACGTCTTGTAAGATATCAAAAGATAAAAAAGATATTTTATATAATTTTTTCCTCATTTTTGTAAATCTCTGAATAGCCGATGGAAATAGAAGTATAAAAAAAATTTTAACCAATAGAAAGATCTATTGATTGCATCAAAACATTATTACTTTTAGTATGAAATCACTGATTTTTTTTTGTATATAATTTTAAATATTTTTTTTCAAAAAAATGTGAATAATTTTGTACATATTGTGTATGAAAATCATTGACAAAAACAATAACAAAATATTTTTCAAACACCTAAAGAACAAACAACTGATTGTTTTGAAGTCTTTTCAATCAAAAATATAATATAAATTTGTATAATAAATTGTTAAATAATTTTTAATGTACAGTATATCATAGTATTAAATTTCATTGTTGTGTTTAGATAATAATAATAATAATAATAAATGTAAGTATAATAGAAATAGTAATTAGAATATATTATAAACTTAATAATGACAGCGCATTATAGGACCAAATAGTATATATAATATATACATAATTGTTAAAATAATAGTAAAACAAATTATTTATGAAAAATAATACACTAAGCAAAACACAATATAAAACACACATACAGTATATAAGAAAACCTATTACCAGAGATTGAGAAAAATGTGAAAAACACATAAATAACTATTGATTTGTGTGCACACAATCACACAATTGACAGCTTTTTCTAACATTTTTTTTCGTTGAGTGTCTCATAGATCCAACAAAAAATGCTTTTGTAAACAAAGGTATGGAAAGGGAAAGGGATGATGAATTCAGAGGCAATGGTAAAGTGTAGCAGTGCTGTAGTATATGTAGTATTATTGGTAGTCGTATATGAAGGAGAGTAGTAGTAGTAGTTGTTGTTGTTGTTGTTGTCTATTGATTTAAAAGAATAGATATAAGAGTTTTGAAAGAAATGAAAACAACTTATTTGGCAAAATTTGATCCAAACTTTATGTCTGTGCAAAACCCCTCCATCCATCCATTCCTTTCTCTCTCTCTCTCTCTCTCTCTCTCTCTCTCTCTCTCTCTCAATGTTTGTTCACTCAAACAGTTTGCTAATTGTATGGCATTTTTATTTAGAGTATCTTTTTTTGCATTTACTCTTTACTTTTCCCAGTTTTTTCTACTGAATATACCTTATATTGTGTTCATTATTATGTAGTGAAGAGTAAGTATAGTACAGTACTTGACGAGCGAAATGTATTTTTATTATAAATGACATATAAATACAATGAGAGACACTGAGAATAGATAAAGCTCTGGTGTTATTCCCTGCCATCCCTTTCCCCCAAATTTCTAATTCTGTATATAAATATATAAGTTTTCCTTATTATTTTATCTTATAGTCGATGGCAGCAAAAAGTGCTCATTTTATTGATCTTTTTCCTCTCCTTCCCTCTCCAGTTCTTACTAAATCTTTTAATATATATATATACTGTATATATATTACATGCCTATATGATGAACGTATTGGCAGTCAATTTGGGGCTCAAATGTGCCAATACTTTCATTTGAAGGAAGAGATCAAATGAAATATAAAAGTTGCCGGAGATTAATGATAGACTCGTTTCAGTTGTTTTGATAGATATATGTTATTATAACTTATATGAATAAATATAGATATATACAGTATATATATGTATATATATAGTTATTGTTCACATAGTATTATTTCACTAAAAATATGTCTCATTTTTATTTAGTTATCATAATATTTATCATAATTTTAGTATAATATTTTTTATAGTTTAACTTAACAAAACAAAAACAAACCTTTATAATCATTAACCACTATAGCTTTATTGCGACTATTATTTATAAAATAATCTAATTTAAGGCACTTTTATAATTAAATTAGTATTATTTCTATTGTAAAATGGGTTATATGTGAGTTAAAATTATTGGAGTTACTAAATATTTTATATATAATTATCTAATAAAACATAATTGTAATGATACATATTTATATGTTTCAAATTAGATATGAAAATACTATTTTGGTTGTACTTATTGAAAGAATTAATTTAATTTCTGTGATAATATAATGACATTTTTGAACAATTATTAAATTATATTGTTTAATGTATGTATAATAATATATATATATATATATTAACAAATTTTGCCAAACTATTAAGTTTATTAGCACTGATTAAATAAATAAACAATTTGTTTTAAAATGTAAATAAATATTTGTATATAATTAGTGTTTTATTGTAAATCATAAATTTTATGGTTTAGGGATAATAAAAAACAAAATGTTTTTTTTTTAAATAAAAATATATTTACAAACTAATTAAATCAATGACAAATACGTTAAAATCAATTGATAGTTATTTTTTTTAAAAAGTACATTAAATATAAAGTAAAAAAAACAGTAGACATCAATTGAGAAAATTTTATTACTATTATTATTTGGAAAAATATATTGAAAATTATTTGGGTTTTCTATTTTTTGACGATATAGTAGTAGTCCATCAATTTAAGAGACATATAGAGATGGATGACAACAATAAGATATATAAAAACAAATAACAATCCAAAGGAGAAAAATATATAATGAGAGGTTTGTCTAAAGTGTAACCTCAAGGGTAAGTATGGCTTCAATATAGATATATGGCATATGTTATGGTATTGATGGTATGGCTGTTAACCAAAATTGTTGTATAGCTATAAGTCATATAACAAATGTATTTCTCTTAAAGTTAATGCAGTTTTTTACTCTCAATATTTTGTTAGACTGTCTATCATTGGAGTTAGCATTTTGTTTGACTCTTCAATTTGTAAGCATTTTGTGTGTGTGTGTGATGTGATGTGCTTTGTATTGAAAACACTTAGGGAATTGAATTGAATTCACAATTTATATATAAGTTATTATTGTCGCTATAGTCAAGAGACTATATTTCAATCAGTATACTACTGTATATGCAATACAGTACTGTATATGCAGTATTGTATACATTTTATTATTATATTTTATATAAAACTTGATATAACAATCATAATATAGTATAAATCTAACTCTTTGGTACAACAGAGATATAATCGGGTATATCATACACAGACATACATAAAGACATGTATATATAAAGAGGAAATTATGTTATTTAATGGTGAAAATAAAGTGCCAACAGTTGTCATCGATGGCAATAGCAAAAGGAGTGGTCCAACCCATGAGTGATAGCATTAATATAAGTGATTACGAGTGTTAACATCATAAGAGAAAAATCTTTATTATACTCCGGAGGGTTCATATTGATTGACAATAAGTTGATTGAACACAAATCACAATATTTTTCTATCATTTTGTTTGGCATTTATTTCATTTTTTATATCATTTCAATTGCTATGCAAACCACTGAAGCGATGCAAATAAGTGATTATTGCATTTGTTATTCATTTGATTTTCAAGCACTGAGAGGTTGCTTACTATTACTATATAATCACTACACAATCAATCAATAAATTGATTTGTATATCGATTGATACCAAATATGATATTTTTGTTTTAGTCTACTTTTCATGAAACTACAATTTTTTTTATAAATAGCATATTTATTACCAATCAGAGTGTTATATACAGGTATACTATATTTACTGTTTTTCTACTGTAGAATTACATTATAAAATTAAAAGTCTTTTTAAATTATGCAAAAAAAGTCTACAAAAATAGCTTAATTAAACTCTCAAATGTAATAAAAAACATAAAAGTTTTATTAATTAATACCTTTGATAAGTATACTAATATATGCTAATATCTCACGAAAATTACTATATCTAATTAAACACAGAATATTCTATATTTAAACTTCATTTTAAAATTCATATTT